CAGCTTGCGCCTTCTTTCTGGATATCTTGCATTCTGGATTAAGAAAGCGGCTACTGTTCTATGACATGGCTGTCAGTTTCTCATCTGAGCAGTCATCCAATAGGAAATTAGCAGCAACTAAAAATCATCTGGTTTTGAGAAATTCACCACGAATCGCCTCAAAACAACATCATCAAAAGAAGTTAATTGCAGTGTGTTCAGAGAAAATAAACGTAGTACCCATAGTTTTCCTAAAATTTTATGTGTGACCGAAAATTTCTTAAGAAATTTGAAGTGGTGTGAAGTTCGATTAGTTACCTTTAATATTCATTGCTCTAATCTAAAGGAGAAAATAAATGAAAGTGAAAGTGCTGTGTTCAAAGTATCATGAATAGCATCTTTGGTGTTTTTCTTCAGGTTTTATTTTTGATGAAGGATCAGTTGAATTTGGTGAGTCATGCCCATTATATTTTCCTTTTGCATGCAAATTCACAGAAGACCGTACTTTTTTAATAAATTTCATAGACATTTCAATAATTCCTTTCATTTTAAACTTATAAAAAAATTTGACGTATTTCTGCCAAAAGGAACTATGTGCATTAAGACATAAGCCCTGAGACTCATAAGACTTTATGCATAACAGAGCTCACGTCATAATGCACTTAGTTTTGTTTGGCAGAAGTACGTCCAAATGTCCATAGGGGCACATCGTAAATTGGCCTCAGTGGGAATCGCACCTCTCATGATTCCCCATCAGATTTGTCCTCTCTACGGGGAACCGTGGTTTTTCACAGGCCTGAATATCATGTGCCCCCATGGGACGTCATTCCCATGTGCTCCCATGGGGAGACCTCGTTCCCTTGGGCCCCCATGGGGAGGCCCCGTTCCCATGGGCCCCCATGGGGAGGCCCCGTTCCCATGGGCCCCCATGGGGAGACCCCATTCCCATGGGCCCGGGAGACTCCATTCCCATGTGCACCCCGGAGTAATTCGCGTCCCAAAATACCATGTGCCCCCGTGGGAATTTTTCTGGATATTGCACATGGGACATTTTTAACAGGGTATCCAAAGACATAAAGACGGAGTGCTCGCATCTAAAAGCACGGGGAAAAAGTGAAGCCTGGTTTGGCGCTGAGTGCTTGTGTGGGTGTGTAAATGAGCGCGGGAATTCATGGCGGCAAATGAAAATTTTATTTGAACTTAGCCTCTTGATGTTTCCACATTTCTTCTTCTAAACGTGTTTTAAATGCCTACAACGAACATAATTAAGAAAGTTGGGACATCGAATTTTTATAATACACCTACTTTTGCTCGGTAACCGGCAGTAATCTCAGATAAAGTTAGTTTTTCTTCTGCTTATGGTGGTCCTGCCGGTTCAAACAGGCCGTTACCTTCCTAGATGACTGTTACTCCCAAATGAAATTAATTGATCGATGATGGACAAAAAATAACCTAAAGCTAAAGAAATATATGTGGGTAAGTGAATTTGGGCAAAAATCAACCGATAATATTTTGTTTACGCAATTTTATTCAGTTCCCGCCCTACATTTGAATTTCAAACTTGTCCCGATTTTGCCGCCAATCCTCTAGCCGAAACCCAAGTAGCCACGGTTGCAACTTGTTGCAACAACATCATAGAAAAGTTGCAACTTTCTGACGTAACTTTTGTTGCAACTTTGTTGGAAGAAGATGGCAGGAAAGTTGAAACTAAGTCTCAATATTTTTGCAACTTTTTCCTCGAACTTTTTGGGAGGAATTTTAAACAAGTAAAGTGAACAACAAACAATGAGTAACAAGAAAAATGTTAATAGTAATTGTACCCAATATGCCATTTGATTTATTTAAGTAAGACAAACTCCTGGAGGTACTTGTTTTTTCTGCATTCATGAAGCAATTTGTGATTTCTCTGGTTAAAGAGCGATGAGGTTGACAATGCTGCGGAAATTGTGCATCTTGGCTTTTTATATTCAGTTAATCCACTAAAAAGTTCTGCTATACACAGTTTTCTGAAAAGAAATCCTACATTTTTTCTATGAACAGATTTGGCAGTAAATCAATATATATATAATAATCTCAGATTGTATGCCAAATCGCACAATTTAGCTGCCCTGCCTAGCTTCATACACTCAGACCCAGATGTGGAAAGAGCATATCCCTGGTAAAAAAGACGACTATGCTGCGAATATATAGCATAGTCGTGTGCATATGTGAGAAGTCGCAGTGTAGTCACATGGTTGTCAAGGGTAGTCATCAGTATGCGCAGTGTATTCGCAAGGTAGTTGCAAGGTGGTCACCGGCTAGTGGTCGCTATGAATGTGTAGTTGCAGATCAATGGTGGATATCCGCAAGCATAGGTGCATATGTTTATGTACCTACCTTTACCGGCTACACATGTGACTACACAACTCTGGGACACTTAGTTGTGCAACTACATATTGACATCACCTTTACATTATGCCTCAGACTATGATTTAATTATAGCATACCGACGATGAAACTGCCACACCAGCCAGATAGCACCCAATGTTCTGAGAATATTCCGACAATGTTCCTACATTTTGAGCAGCTTTTAATAATCAGAGAATATTCTGAGAATATTCTGTATCAGCAGCTAAACTCAGAATATTCTCAGAATGTTCATCATCTTCCACTACGCATGTGTAGGAGAATCTTCCAGCTACATTTGCATCATGCAAGGTAACAACGGATGACATATGCTCAACGCACGACATGCGAATATGCTCAATAAAATAGAAAATGAACAAAAACCACTCACCAACTTGCTCGAATCAGTAATCCACTGGGTCAGGAAAATCCAATTGACAACAATTAATCCAAATTTCCAANTCGAAAATTTTACCTTATATTTCCTCTGTCATCAAGTTGCGAATTCCTAGAGTTTTCCCGGATGTCTTTGCAAAAATGTGAAAGGAAAAATTAAAAATAGTTTGAATTATCTAGCAAAATGGGGTCTCAGTGTAAATGGCACTTCTGATACCTTGGTCAGAAGGTGGTCAGAAAGTAAGAAATACTGAAACAGCTCAATTAAGATATATTTCTTTGTGATGGATACGACAAATTATTGGATAATATAATAGTTTTGAATACTTCAATTACTTATGCAAATGAGAATAATTATTTTCTTAAATATTCTTCCCACATAAACATTCAATTGCTCTATTTCCTCTATCAATTATAGATTGTCATTTGTTCTTTCTTTGAGAATTTAGATTTGGTTTTTAAGTGACGACTTGCATTTCAATGAAACCTTTCAATTATGCATCAATTTCAACAAGAGACATCTAAGATCTTCTTTTATTACTGCACGGTAAAAAATTTCAGACAATAATTAGCTACTTAACAAATATATGTACATTGTGATACAAAATCGTTTTGCTTTACTTGATACAATTTGATTAAAAATAGCATTGATGTAAAAAATAAAAAAAAAATTGATCAAAAAGGTGCTATCTGAAAAGATAAAATGAAAGCGGATCAGGAATTATTTAAAAATTGGTTTTATTCCCTCATTTAAACACTTCTCCATGCTGTCTATGAAAGTATTTACAGTCTTACGACTAAACTTAAAGTTATAAAAAATGTATTTTACTCTGTACATTATAATACACAAGATTACTTTGAGTACTCAATTAACAATTGGTCGGACTAGCATCCATACAAGGCTTTCGTATCGGCTGTGGCTTTCATGGCAGTGGTAATGTATTTTTCCAATACTGATTCTAGATCCTTAGCTTCATCCTTATTATGGTGTGACAGCTCCAATAAAAGCAAGTCAATTGTTTCTATTGGTAGACCTAAGGACGGAGAAGCAACAACAAGAGGTCCTGCCAATGAGAAATGCTCCGTTCCACAACCAAGTGCCGCAAGGAAAAGGTCACGTGCTAAAGTGCTGGCCTGTTTCAAGTCTCCATAGTTTAGATAGAGTCTCAGGAGTTCACTGGCATTACGTTTCTTGTAAGAAGTTTCTAGCCAATGAGGCAAAAAGACGTTACAAGACATCAATTTATCAGCTACAGATTTATGCAACACCGTTTGATTATCCTTCTCATACTTCTGAAGAAGACACTCAAGGAGTCTCCACGCCACAGTGCAAGCATTTGAGTCACCAGCGACCAGTTCTGAAATTTCATTCCGGACAAGCCAACTCCATGGATCAACTTGATGTGGTAATGCAACACAAGCTGCCGCTAACGAAACTAAAACAGGGCTGTAACTCAAGTTGCATAAGTGACAAATTCGAAGAGCATTTTTGTAGAATCCATTGTGGATAAGCATCGATACCAGTTCTTGTGGGTATGTTCCAGTATTTGCCATTGATAGCTTGATTTTTGCCGTTGCTAGCTCATATTCTTGCCTTATGTCCTTCAATTCAAGAACTTCAATTATCTCCTCGACCTCATCTTCTTTGGGTTTCAAAATCCAAGCATTATTGGGGTTGACTAGATACAGACAATTAAGACAAATTGCGTAGCATTGACGCTGAATTTCAGGATCCTCTGCTCGTAAACCTTGTTCAAACATAACTGTTGCAGCTTTCTTGAGGTTATCAAACTTGATATGCAGAGAATATAAAAACGAGTAATACAGCGCTGCTTGCTCAGTGGGTAGTGAGCGGGCTCTTGAGATCATAATCGATTCCAGCTGAGGTAACAGACTGCCGAACGGTAGCGAGAGCAAAATGTCCAACCGAGCATTTTGAATGAGCGCAACAACCAGCTGCCGCAAACAGTCGGACAGCCGCTCAGGATCAGGATTGCTCCTCAGACTGGTGAAAGCAGCAGTATAGTGACACAGCTTTAGATGGTGCAAAAACAGAAGCGAATGAAGAGTAGGGAGTTCTGGGTCATCGAGTTCTGCTTGACTGATGGCAGTGTCTGCAAGTTCAATTACTATGTCCGAGTAATTGTGCTTCTCAAACAACTGGATCATCCTCAAGAATGTTGCTGAGGTGTTCGCTTCGGCCGTGATTTTGTCGTAGGCTTTGAATGCGTCTCCCATTTGCAAGTAAACTTGGGCTAGGATTATTCTCCAGGATTTGGAATCAGTAAGGCGAGCGAGTTCTTGTACTAAAACAGGCTTGTTCAAACCCAAAAGGAACTCGGCTACATTTGCACTCTTCTTTGCTGGCCAAAGGTGATGCGCAAGTGAAGATACTGTATCCATCAGTGAAGGCTGCGCAATGCCTGACGTTGATGCTAAATATTCAGCTGTTATTGATTGCCGTCCGAACCACTGCAGCAACCAGTAAGATTGACAAATGGGGATTAAATCCTCAAGAAGTGAGGTAGCAAGTTCTGGAGATCCCATGAGCTGGAGAAACACGAGCACATTACGGCTCAACAGAAGCCGTAATGAGACGACTTGGTTTAAACATGCAGCGACCGTTGTCACACCTAGCGAACTCCTTAAGGTGTTTTGAATGCATGGAACAGGTTCAAATGTTTCAGGCTCCTTTAAAAGACTGACTAATTTTACGAGTGAAACGGACAACTGATCATTGTTAGACAGCCACTCTGCTTCCGAAAGAAACTTGTCATCTCGTGAGATCTGCCCAGCAATTAGAGCAATTGTAGAATCTAATGGTAGAAGTCCATGAAGGGCTTGATCGAATTTGACATTCAACTCATAATCTAACTCCAGTGACGCTAGAGCATTGACGAGTCGCTCAAAGCAAGTTGCATAGAATTGCTTGTTGGCAATGATAGATTCCAAGTATTCTTTGTTGCGCAAGATAGAAAATCCATTCTTTTTTATTAAGACCACACAGGACATGGAGTGGAGCCAAATGATTCCTAAGGGGACGCTAGATGTCTGATGATACTGAACGCAGCAAGAATAAAATTTGTTCCAGCATTTTTCGGCGATGTCGATGTAATCTTCATCAGTTAATTCATAGTCGGAGACGTCCATTTGGATTTCATTTTCAATTGCGACTTCTACTTGTTGTTTCAGGGACAAACTGTTGTCTCTGTCCTCTGGTTTACACAGCATTCCAAGAGCCTTGGAAATATCATTGACAGAGAAGTGACTGTGATCAAAGATGTATTGAAGGTAGACCAGTCGAGGATCAAGATTTGCTGTGCTTAAAAATGAGTTCAGAGGTTTTGGATTGGTCTCCAAATCCGTCTTCTGCCACTGACCAGTTAGTAGGTTGATGCTGTGAACAACAGTCTCTCCTTCACTTGTTCGACACAAACACCAAACTGTGTTTGAATCGAAGGTCAAGTCCATCAAGTCCAAATTCTCGGGGATTAGAAAATTACACGAGATGGGTAGCTGAACAAATCCATGCTCCACTATGGGTTCGACGATGAACAACCGAGACTTAGTGTTCAGGCAGACCTAAAATGAGGTTATTCGTATTCACTGCTTTCCGCATGATATGACTGTAAGCTCCTTGAACTAAAGGCGTGGTAGAACTAAAGCCGAAAAATTGAGTCGGCTGTTTTGGCAGGAAAACGATGCACAATCGCAAAAATATTTTGCGCCAGAATGCACCTACCCTAGGGTTCTTAAAATATGGGTTCAGATGATTTTTTGAAGTGGGGCCAAAATCGGCCCTTACCGATACCCCTCCTTTTCAGTCCAGATTTGCGTTTGCTTTACGGAAAAAACTATGCACATCATTCAATATGGTTATATAGTTTATTTCACTGTGCACAATTCCAAACTTCCTATATTTTTGAAAAGTTGAAATCAAAATGGAGTTTTGTCTCTTTCCGTTTAAGGTCTCACTAGCACTTTATTTGTGCTTAGGTGCTGTGTTGCCAAACTTCTCAAATTTCTCCAATTTTTAGGCAAAACTAATGAACCAAAAAAGAATTACTCGAAAATTTTACCTTATATTTCCTCTGTCATCAAGTTGCGAATTCCTAGAGTTTTCCCGGATGTCTTTGCAAAAATGTGAAAGGAAAAATTAAAAATAGTTTGAATTATCTAGCAAAATGGCGTCTCAGTGTAAATGGCACTTCTGATACCTTGGTCAGAAGGTGGCGATCTTGAAGTTCTTCCTTCGTCCTGTAAATGTAACCGGACATTGTTTGCAGCAGCTGTTTGACTTTTGGCATTGTTTTAAACTAAGGACCACCAAAATTACTGGCTTCGATGAGTTATATTAAAAACGTAATCTTACACTCTTTGACTTGTAATCTACAACTAAAAACACGGCCACGCCATATCAGCAATTTTGTACGAAGAGAGACAATGAGAAGTCCTCACACACGACTAGAGTAAATACGATATCTAAAATCAGGATCTCCAAAATTGATTTGATAAGAATGTCTCGTCATTATCTCAAAACAATCATACTTTACCATTTTCAATCCATGAGTGTCAAATTTACAAGTTAAAAAAATAAAGTTTTACCTATTCTATATGATGTGCAATGTAAACTGTTCACGCTTGGTTTTTAGCAGCACTAGGAGGAAGAATAAAACTAAAGAACGGGTTTCAATTTTTTTAAAATTTTACTTCTGTAATATGAAAGGTTATCCCAACGCTCGGGGGTGCATTCAGCAAATACGTTAAAATCTATATAAAAAATATAATATTTACAATATTACATTAGTATAAATAATTACATCTATAGAATATCTAGAACAATATTCCAAAATTTTACCACTGAAACTTCCTTAAGGTTTTGAATATCTATGCGCTCTTCTGTTTGGAACGATCTTATTATTAATTTACACTAATTACTTCACTATTCTCCAGCTTTGATTATCCCACCGATGGATCCAGCACTATTTTATACAATTCTGTCATTCACAGATAATCTCTTAAATTATGAGTCAGGTCCCGCTTCAAATTCAAAATTTTATCCGTAATTTAGGCTCCGTGATGCGTTTCTGAGAAGATGTTTTGATTAACCCTATCAGGCTCTCTCTGACAGGAAAAAGTTGAGAGCGTAAATGTCTCCAAGTTTGTAGGTCCTTGCAAATTCTTTCACGTCAAAATTATTTCTACCATTTTTCTTCACTGCCTCTGTGCTAAAAATGTAAATAGAATAATATTATTCTCAAATTAAAAAAATATCTATTGCGCTAAAATGTTATATTCTAATAAACTCTCGCAAGTTGTCGTTTTCCTGAAAAAAAAACGTAATTCCATTCCAAGGTTGCTCAAAATTGACCTAAATTAATCATCTTTTTTTCCTGTGCAATATTTGTCCATAATTTACTTGATTTTTGCACGAGATCGGGAAAAATCAATGTCTTAGATTTTCCTAGTCAAAATACAATTTGTAAAGAAAAATTTGGCAACACTAAAATATAGTTACGTCCTTCCGTGAAGGGAACGACAAATTGCAAGTGACATCATGGCATGGGGAAGCAATGCAAAATGTCTTAGAGGTTATAAAGCTACCTAGAGTATCAGTAGCTTATCATTGAAATGAGAATATTGCCACTGTCAATCATTCTTAACGGCACGACAATCATGATACTCATTGTGAGTATTCGCAAAGTAGTACATAGGTGGATTGCAGCGATAAAATGTTATACTTTAAGTAGCTTCATTGTCACTGATTTTAAAAAGCATTCCTTTCGAATACATGAATGATCTCTTTTGTGAGGCTATAGGTGTTCTCATCGCCAGCAGATGGTTCCAAAGACAATATCAGAAGGAAGAAGACAGAAGAGAGATCGGTAAAATTAAGATAAGGACTTATCTTTGCCCACAGCGTAAATCAGAATTTTCAAAACTTTGCTCATATTTTTTGGGATCTAAAATCAACGTTGTCACGGCTTAAAAGCTGGTCTCGCAACCTTCGGAAAACAGAAAGACACGCACAATAAAACCTATCTCGATATGTATTGCCTATGCCAATATCTCTATGAGACCTTGGGAGTATTATTAAGTTTCTCAGCGATAAAAGTACACCCAAATAAAACTGAAACAATGACATTCAAATGAAACTGGTGATATATACTCACTTGTTTAAAAACATTTCCTTAAAGTCAATACTTGTGTCGTTTGGCTGCTTATACACATAGAACACAAATCTGTGGTACCCTGAGCAAAAAAAAAAAAAACAAAAAAAAAANAAAAAAAAAAAAAAAAAAAAAAAAAAAAAAAAAAAAAAAAAAAAAAAAAAAAAAAAAAAACAAATAAGTAAAACAAAATGTGTTACCTAATTTTTAATGAGAAAATGTCGAAAGTAGGCACAGTGTTTACATTTAGATTTTAATCTATCAGTATGGTGAGAAAGTAAATTTAAATAAAGTGCCAAATAATGGTCACTAAATCACCGCTTCTAGTAGAGAGGAAGGAAGGCACGTAAGCTATATTGCTTTATTTAACTGGGCAATTTAATTTTTTTCCAAGACAACATTTGGGTGGATTCCTTCGAAAATTTTAAAATTTTCGATTTTTTTTGAAAATTCACTGACATTTGCACACAAGTCCACATTAACGTTTTCATGTGAAAAATTAAATTGCCCGATTGAATTGGACAATAGCTGATGCGGTTTGGTTCCTTTCTGCTTGATACGGTCCAAATAGACTCATTTATGTACGCCCGATTAATTTTTTTTGCAGTATACCAACAATTATAGAATACAGCTTTTAGCATCTAAGACGTCAAAAATGTACCCTGTTACCAATTACACTGGTACAACCGCCCATGCGCACTTGAGTCTTTGTTTTAGGATACAAAGTTAACTGCGAGGTAGTCAAACCATCATCTATGGATCACCGTACACATTTTTGACTCGGAGGATGCGCTGTCTTCTATCATGACATGCAGATTCCTGTGGCAGCTAGGCGTCGCAGAACGCTCTATCGCGCCGTAGTAGCGACTTGCACATTGACAGATGCGCTGTCTTAGCATTTAATTTTATCTGGCAAAAGCACGGAAATATTCCTTGAAAGTTTATAGTTTTTGTGATTCTAACTATAGTGTAATAGGCTATTAATTTGTGTGCTCGCTAAAATATGTTTGCCGAGTAGAATCAAATAAGTTTTGCTCTTGGAGCCATCGTTTTGTAAAAAAGTGACTTTAGTTATTTCAAGACTTCAGGATGTTTTCTGAAGTTCTCATACTCTTGGAAAGTCGATTTTAATAATGGTCAATCTTCTTTTTCAACAGAAAAAATTTTTTGGCCTCTTTTATCGCTGGAAGTTAAGTTTTTTTGTCCGTACCGTAGACCAACTAAACAGGCTTGTTTTTCTATCAATACGTGCGATAATAATACCGTTTTTAAGTTTTTTTGCACTCAATGAGATATATTCTTGTAGAAGAATAAAAAAAAATTTCCTTCAAAGTTTTTACTTCCAAAATTTAGCACCCAAATTGCTCTAAAGTCCGATTTATAGAATTTTGCGCCATCATTTTTCTCCCATAAAAACCGGGAAATGTAATTATACGATTAATTTTAATTAATTTCTTTAGAACTAACTTAGAAGATGTGGTAGACAACTTTTTTAAAGAATTTCTACAGGTTTGCTCTTTTTAAAGCTACAAATTGTACAATTTTTTACTGGTCTACGGTACAGGACAATAACGTTACGGTACGGACAAACGGGCTGCGGTAAGGACGAAGAGGCATTCGTAAATATTACTGTATGCAAGGGCCGAATTATAAAGAACTGAAATTCATTGGGGAATAAACTGCTAAGTTATAGCATAGCTTATAAGTGCCACTTTTATAAATAATTACAGGCAATAAAGGTAAAAAGAGTAAGTAAATCAGTTTTTCAAAAATAATGAACTGCTTATATTTTAAAGTAAACGCATTAAATGATTAGGGACAAATCTTAGAAGCTGAGTTCTTAAAACAAGCTTGACAACGTTAGAACGTTTCAGGTGCACTTTTACAAAATAAGAAAGAAAACAAAAAGGTAAATTTATCGAAAATGTGGTCACAAATCACCTTAAATAAATATTTAAAGGACAATAAGAAAAAAATAAGTTAGATATTAACGAATAAATATTAAACGAATAAATTGCTATGAACTTCAGACGAAAAAGAGGACTCAAAGTTCTAAAAGACAAAATGAAAAAAATAAAAAGATGGCGATCCTTATGCAATCATCGAAAAAAAAGCCTCCTTCTTCTAAGTCGCGTCGTACTAAAAAAAAATACGTCTCTCTTTTTTTTTTTTAAATTCCAAATTTTGGTGATAGATAAAATAAAGTAAAGTGGGATGATCTATCAAACAGCGCACCGATTTTTGGATGACTTCCGCATTTTGTCCGTACTTACCGTAGACCCGGCCGCATCGCGCGTCAGCTACGGGTTACGGTACCGGACGGCTACGGGCTACGGTACGGACGGCTACGGTGCGGACAAATCGTGTGATTATTGGCAACGGTGCTCGGGCATATTCACGCATATGGTTGAAATTCTGGATTTGAGGTTAAGATATCAGAGCGTATCAAAAAATACCAAAATTCGAGAGTTTGAAGTGATTTATGCATTAAAAAGGTAGGTATACGGTAAGGACATCCTAGATGGTCGTCAAACCTAGAAACTCATAAAAAACGGTCAAAATTTACTGTTTCATTGCGGTTTTTTTTCCTCTGCTCGACATCAGCGTGTGATAGTCACGATAACACAAAAAAAGTAAACAAAGTTCATAAGTGCTGCACTGTAACGGACGAAATGATGCTGAAAAAAGGGGGCTACGGTACAGGACGCGAATTCCGCAGACAAGGCTGCATGACGCAAAGACTGTCAATATTTTCACTTATTTGGATGAATATAACTGAAAATATTAAGTTAGGTACAAATTGAGTGTGAATTATTTACAGCAGAACTGGAAGTATTTAGATGCAAGATGATGGTTATGAAGCGTTAAAGTTGCGCACTTGAGTCGCAGACAGGCTACGGTACAGGACATTTCAGCTGTTTAGGGCCAAAATTCTGATATTAAATGGCAAAAACTGCCTAAAGCGATGTTGGGACCTGATTAAGCGTAAAATTTTGAACAAATTTAAAAAAAAAAAAATGTCAGATTTTTCCATTTTGAAGGGCTAAAAAGTTGGCAGACATGGTAGAGCAAAACTTATTTGATTCTACTCTGCCCCTATCGAAAGCAAAACAGCCAAAATCATACTGACCTGTTCCTTTATCTGGATGTATCGGAAGCATGGGAGCAATGAGGTGCACGTCATCAATATGGTTATTAGCTTTGCAGTTTCCAACAGCCCAGTAAAGCCATTCGCGGTTGTACGGTCCGTCACGAGAAGGAGCGTCAAAGTCTGGAATGATCACCGTTCCCTATTTACGTATACTATTTATAAATACCTTATAAATATCGACAGTGTAAGTCCGCAACCACAGACCTCGATTAAAAATCTCCGCTCCTATTATTTTTTTAAAAAAAGAACAAATCAACATCCATCCTTGAAAGTTTCACAAAACTTTCTTCGCGCATGAAGAGAAAAAAACGTCTAGAAATGATGAAATTTCAACTCCCCCCCCCCTTGCAGGATGACAATACTTCCTCTATCCTAGGGGAGCGAGAAAGTAAAAATCACGGCAGTTTTAAGAATTACCGTTGAGTACTTTCTCATTGAAAAAATTAGGTAGAACAAGAAGTCTGCAGCGTCTGTAACCGAGAGGCGTGGTCCAAGACCATCAACATCCTGTAGTATGACCGAGAATATACGAAGAGACTTTTTAACATTAGGTTTCTACTTAATTTATTTTCTTAATAGGGTAAAAATGGTCATATTTGTTGGAAATTTTAGAGGCTTAATCAAGATTGCATGCAACTGTGTATCATGAAAATAATAAGTTGGACAGATTGAATCTGAATCAGCCTAATTAAATTGTTTTATTGCCCGATTGTCTCTCATTATTTATTTGCAAAAGATGTGATGAAGTTTTGAGTGAGCCAACTATTTACGAAAATTTACGGGAGATGAAACTATTGATATGAATTATCTCTTTTTAAAAAAAATTAATGGCAGCATCTAGGGCTGACTGATAAGAAATACTTCAACTCACCAGTTAGCAGAATTGTGAATAGTTCGTGTGGTTCGCATTTAAATCTGACAACTTTCGGAGCCTCAAATACCTTCTCGGGAGGGATTTTATTGCCAAAATCTGCCATTTCTCCAGTATTAAATATTATCTGACGACGATAAAACAAAAAATCCAGGGACAAATAAATATTGGAAGAATCAAATGTTGGTAAAATTACGCTGTAAGGTAAGGTATCGGTGGTGAAACTGCAGAAACGCATACCTCGTTCACGGTGTTTCGAAATCTCTGCTCCCATTTGATTTCATCAAAAATTAAAAAACTAACGCTATTATTTAAAATTTTTGACAGGATATTCCTCACGCAGGGGGAAAAAATCAGGGAAATCTCGAAAATGATGCTGAGTATTTTTCAAAATCCTTAAAAATAAAGTACATGATAAGTAATTCTGCAACGACACAAACCAAGATATGCGTTCCTGCAGTTTTACCGTCAATGTTTTATCATCCTGCAAATTATAATACAGTGATTCAGACGAAGAAAAACAAAATTCAATGACAAATTTAAGGTTTTTCACCCCCTCTCCCAATCAAATCTAACTTCAGCTCATCTTACATACAATTCCAAAATCAGCCTGTGAATCGATCAGTTGAGTCACTCTGAAGCGATTGATCACGTTAGGAAGTTATGTCCTTGACCATTTAAATCTGAACATTTTTTGATCGCAGTGTCGCTGTGTATGTTAGACCGTAACATTGAATAGTGATTGATGTGACTGCAGTTCTTACTCTCTTACCTCAGCACTAAACTTTGTTTGTTCCTCCACTATTTCTGGGATAAGAGCATTTTCGTACAATGCCTTATACATCTGGTGTTGTGTTCTGCAATCAGGGTGTTTTGAGGATAGAACCTTCCCGAGAATCATCAACCAGTGAAGAAGTAAGAAAATGGTAATGCCTCCGTGGAGTCCATCGTGAACCAACGCTACCGGGGATCCTCTCAACATTTTTTCTACTATCACATTTAAAATTCCGGTACCTTCGAGTGCAGCAAACTAACCCCCAGCCCTGCTGTGCAAGAAATGAATTAAGGAGTGTTAATAGTGAATATGGGAGTGGTTACATGATATTGCCTGGGGCCAGGTAGCCACTTACCTAACTTTTTACTATTATTTTTTCGTTTTTTGTGGCTAAAAATAAGCCGGTAATGTCTCGAAACGTTCTGCCTCTTTAGTATTTTAAAAGTTTTTTAGCCTTATTCATCCATAATTTAATCTCTTTACATTGTATTTGAAATGAATGAATGAACACATAAAAAGAGTCATAATATGAAAACATGTAAAATTCAAATTATTCAAACAGGAAGAAAATGAACATTTGCATGACTGAACTTTTCTTGACACAATTTTTAAATACCCTCACTCTCTCATTTAAGTGAAAAGTTTTACCTAGGATCAATTCCGTGTGTATTGTACACCGTTGCTTAGTTCGTGCGACTATAAGAAACCTGATTATCGTATAGTCGCCTCTTTGATGGAAGGGCGTATCTCGATTCCAGGTGAGCCCTGTTTTCCATAAGTCTATGCTTTCTGAGGCTCAAGTAGAAATCGAGTTACACCCTCTGGTTAGAGGAGTGACGATATTTCTTATCAGTAGCCGTAAATTTCATCACATGAAGCTACGAAACGGGGAAACATGTGGCAGGTATTAAGAAAAATCTATCGTGTTGCCAATCTCAATGATGTAATTAATATTATATCGCCGTGTATTTGCCTCCTTGCCCTACTAAAATTTCGAGAGAATGGTTGGCTCCGCGCGTATTCAAGCTTTGTCTCTACTGTGTGAGTAACTTATAAAAGAGCACAAAATGTAAGACAAAGCATTTTCGATTCTTTCAGAAAATTGTTCTACTTGTCTTGTTTATACCTCGTCAAATTTTTGGTACATTGAAAGACATAGAGACGCGAGTGGCTGGTAAACAGACTAGCTGGCTCCAGCTTTTACACAAATAGTGATATTTCCATGGTGGTCAAAAAGCATTTGAGAGATTCAGATTTCAAGATTATTTTCGTGAGAACGAAAATAATTCTACTTCTTTTAAAAGTATCTAAGCAAGAGTGGTTAAGGTCCCGCTGAGACATGAAGCTGTGTCCAGATTTAGGGAAAATCATACTCGGACAAGAAAGAAGACTTACAAATTAAATAAAATATTCATTTAAAAAAAGTCCAGTACATTTAATTACATAATAATTCCTTTTGCGTTTTTAACATAACGGTAAATTGATCTGTTTACATAGAGTCTCAGATATTTGTAAAAAAGAAAGAAAAAACCTTAAGGTTATTCAAAGCATGGTCCCGGATCCGTAAATGGTTGCCTTTTTTCCTCTGGAACCCATTCTGAGAGGAAAAAGTTCAAGGCGTAAATGTCTCCTAGTCCGTAAGATCTTGCAAATGCTTTTACGTCGAAATTACTCCTACCTACATCCGACCTAAACAAATTTTAAAGGAAACGCAATGTAGTTTATGAAGGAGTGCAAAGGATGCAATAAAAAGGTGAGGAACAACTTGATATCTTCATTCGCTTGAAGCATTAGAGTAATCAGTAAAAAATATTTCACATTCCATGACTCCTTTGAGTGATCTAGAAATAGTTCAAAGTATCGTAACTGCCCAGAATAATAAAAAATCCCAGCCTTTAAAGGCGTATCTGGAAAAGGTGGGAGAAGAGAAAAGTTAGGTAAGAACACATTACGCGCTACAAATGCCACCATTTATAAGCGCCTCTGATGACTTAATCAATGAGTGCGCCTCATGCCGTTATCAAAACTAGTGGGGCGTATATGTCCCTGAAAAAGGCTCTCCTCAGTCCGTAGGGCACACCTGTAAAAAAGACCTCATTAAGGTGATTCGATGGATGCTATATCGCATCGATTGGTTCTAGTTTTTCAGCAATTCGTCATTTTCCTCGAATTTTGAGATCGAAATTCTGTTGTCAGGAGACTAAAGAATTCACATACCAATCTTTACAAACAAATTCAACGCAATAAAGGAGCGGTTTTTTCAAAGGAAAAATATCGCATTCGATACTGATATCGAAACTGCACTCGAATGCGATATTTTTTCTCTAAAAAAACCACGCCTTCATTACGTTGAATTTGTTTGTGAAAATTGGTAAAGTGAGTACTTTATAGTCTCCTGCCAACAGAATTGCGATCTCAAAATTCCAGAAAAATTATTAAAAGCTGAAAAAATGGAGCCAATCGATGCGATATATCGCATGTCGCTCTGACACAAAATATGGCGTCCATCAAATCACCTTAAAAGGGTTTCTCCCAAGAAAGGGGTTATGTTCCACTAAAACAATCTTCAGCTAATGGAACGTGTCCTCCAATGGAAAGGACTCTCCAAGAAGGCCCCCGAAAAGGGTTTCTAAAACGGACCCCTTAAAAGTTCCCCAAAAATGTCTTTGAAGGGGCACGTAAAAACAAACTCAAGACACATGAGAGGGTTCTTTTGAGATGATATGTGATAATACTCACTTATTTGAGAAAGGTTCCAGGAATTTAATTCGAGTATTATTAGGTTGCTTAAAAACATAGAAGACGTATCTGTGAAAACCTAAACATAAAAACACGGAAAATCCATTAAATTTGGGGCGCAATGCGTTTTACTCTACTGTTTTCCTCTTTTAACCATGTTCTACTTTGATAAAATAAGAGAATACAGGAAATGCGTTGTAAATGTATTTAATTCAATCGTCAATTCAATAATATTGCGATAATGTGAAGACAAATTAAGTGCCGCAGATAGGTATCAAGAAGTCAATATGTATCATAATAAACTCCGTTTATAACAAAGACATAAAGACGGAGCGCTAAAAGCAAAAATTGAAGCTTCTTTTCTATCACCTCTACTATTGGCTATAGGATTGACGGCGAAATCGGGACAAGTTTGAAATTCAAATGTAGGGCGGGAACTAAATAAAATTGCGGAAACAAAGTATTTTAGGTTGATTTTTGCCCAAATTCACTTACACACTCATATTTGTATAACTTTAGGTTAGTTTGGTCCGTCGTCGACCGATTAATTTCATTTGGGAGTAACTGTCATCTACGACTGTAACGCCGTAACGGCCTGTTTGAACCGGCAGAACCACCATGAGCGGAAGAAAAACCAACTTTATCTGAGATTACTGCCTGTTACCGAGCAAAAGTAAATGTATTATAGTAGGACGCAGTCCCAACTTTCTTAATATATTCGTTTTAGGCATTTAAAATACGTTTCGAAGAAGGAATGTGGAAAAATCAAGAGGACAAGTTCAAATCAAATTTCCGTTTGCCGCCATGGATTCCCGCGCTCATTTACACACTCACACAAGCACCCAGCGCCAAACCAGGCTTCACTTTTTCCCCGTGCTTTTAGATACGAGCACGCCGTCTTTATGTCTTTGGTTTATAACGTAAAGTTAAGGAGCCGCTCAATGTCCTCACTGTATAGAGGTTCTCGTAATAACCATAATCGATGAGAAAAAGACTGACAAACTCAGACATCAAAGACTCGATATACTAAGGTGCCATTCGGGGATGCAAAATCTCTACGATCCCTCGATCTCAAGATTGTATAGGCTCACGGTGCGATTGGCCGGAGAAGATGCACACTACTAGTGGCGAGGCGTAAATGATCAATAATCGATATTCCTCAATTTTAAGCAATGGTAAAGAATCGATTATTGAGGTGTTCGTTGCGAACGCCTCGTTTATCGATCCTTTTCCAAGGATTTAAGTAGCGGATAAATCGATGCACCGCAAAGCACTGCACGGCACGATGTGCCCGTCACGGAAACATTACGAGGAACGGTTGAAGCGCGCACCGCGCACCGCCGTAAACGCGTGATGCGTGAAGTATTCCTACAGTCTTGTAGGCGCTAATATGCGGTTTGCGCCGACCGCATTATAATGGCACGATTGTTTAACTCGCGCAGTCCGCGTTTTTCAACTCGTTACAACCATAATTTTTTGCACACTCTGTATGGATTAATGTCATTTGAATCGATACAAAAATTTGTAAAAAAAACCTAACTAATTTTATTGTTTATTTACAAGCGATGAGCACCGTGCCCGCATCTCTCATGACTCAGCATAGATTTGCTTTGCAGTAATCATTGTTTACGCTCTTTAGAAGACAGATTTCTAGGTATGAATCTGCATTTTGACCTTGAGCCAGGTCGACGGCCAGGTTGACAGAAAGGGAGTTGCTTCGTTGCCTAGCTCGTTAGGCCGGAGGAAAATACATGTATTCATATGGGAAGTCCAAGGGATCAGCCGATTTTTTCGATTTGGAGAGATGCTCATAAAAATAGTCGTCACCGAGAGAGACTGCTGTGTATATGTATAAATGGTTCAGATATGAAGGTGCCACCATTTCAATTGCCGTTATTATCCGTAATTAGTACTCAGAAATACCTTAGTATAAGTTCGGCATGTCAGTAGTAGTAGTATTCAGAAATGCAAATCAAGGGCATATACTAACCTGTCCCTCTTTGAGGATTAATTGGAATCATAGGGGCAATTACTTGCACTCCATCAATATGGTTATCAGCATCACAATTGCCAACTGCCCAGTGTACCCATTCGCGGTTATGAGGGTTATTTCTGGATGGTGCATCAAAATCTGAAATCGATTGCCGATTGCTATGAAATAACTTCATATTTATATTGACGATGATATACTACCAACCGAACACGGTACCTCGATTTGTATCGTTGCAGATTTCCTGTCATACTTTTTTCTTAATGGAGAACTACACAGCGCCAGTTCTCAGAAACTTCCGAGATTTTCCCTCTCTGTGCGAAGCAAATTCTTAAAAAACTTTAACGGTTGATATTGATTTGTTATCTTTTTACAAAAAGAAAAAAGGAGTGGAGATTTTTGAAAACCGAAAACGAGATACGAGGCTTGGTAATTTTTTCATCGTCGATATGGTGCATCTGGAACTTCGGCAAAAATATAGTTAACTTAAACAATAGTTCCACCAAGTATGCGGCAAGTTATTTTCTCAAAAATCTAGTCGA